GAGGAACTGGGAGAAATGTTAGAAGGGCTGGTGTTAAATGACATCCATCACTACACTCACGTTCTCACTGGTAAGCAGTAGTAGAGAGAAAGGGGGAGGGAGGGAAGGAGGAAGGGAGGGAGGGAGGGAGAGAGAGAGAGAGCGCGCGCGAGAGAGAGAAATATAGAGATAGATAGATAGAAATAGAGTGTGTGTGTGTGTGTGCGTGCGTGCGTGCGTGCGTGCGTGCGTGCGTGCGTGCGTGGCGTGCGTGCGTGCGTGCGTGCGTGTGTGTGTGTGTGTGTGTGTGTGTGTGATCTCTCACTCTCTCTCTTTCTCTCTCGAGAGAGGGAGACGCGGCGCAGAGTGATCGACGTGCGTATAGACGAATAGGCGAAAGAAAGAAAAGGCGATAGAGCGAAAGACACATACAGCTAAAACTGGTGATTGTTTATATTGCAGGCTATGTGGGTGTAGGACCGCTGTTGTAAAAAGTAGTCGACATCATCAAAACCCTGATAAAAATCAACCCAAACCTGATTTATGGTACGTCTACGCACAACTGAGAAAAGAAATCGTACTCAATATTATTAATTATAATGATTTACTATTAATATTAAGAATTAATAGTGATACTAATTGTTAAATATTCATGTATTCAGGAGTGATTATAAACAAATGTTGTTTGATTATCATTAATTATTAGTCATTATTATTATTAATTAACAATAATTAGTAATCACTGTATATTTATTATAATAGAACGGTCCCATCGAAAATCGAAGTGGTTTAGTTCGTGTGTAGATGGGTGCCACTTTAATCCAGTTTGCGACCGAGTGATGGGCGACGATGGAAAAATGTATGGTCCGAAAGAGCCGTTGCCCATCTACAGAGATCATCTCATCCCATTGGCACACATTCTAACACCGAACCAATTCGAGGTAGAGTGAGTCGTCATTGTATAGGACGCTGCCGTACGCACGCACACGTAGGTACGCACGCACACGTAGGTACGCACGCACACGTAGGTACGCACGCACACGCAGGTACGCACGCACACATAGGTACGCACGCACACGTAGGTACGCCCGCACACGTGGGTACGCACGCACACTTAGATACGCACACACACTTAGGTACGCACGCACACGTAGGTATCTAAGTGTGCGTGCGTACCTAGTGTACGCATGCGTACCTACGTGTGCGTGCGTATCTAAGTGTGCGTGCGTACTTACGTGTGCGTGCGTACCTACGTGTGCGTGCGTATCTAAGTATGTGCGCGTACCTAGTGTACGCGTGCGTATCTACGTGTGCGTGCGTACCTAGTGTACGCGTGCGTGCGTACGCACGCACACTTAGGTACGCACGCACACTTAGGTACGCACGCACACGTACAACCGTACACACGCACGCACACAAGCACACAAACAGACAAACAAACAAACATATTAGTGTTTACACCCAGCATGCAGCATCTACCCCACAACCGTACACAGCGATCGAGGTTGTCTGTCTCTCTGTCTTTGTCTCTCTCTCTCTCTCTCTCTCGCTCACTCTCTCTATTTCGTTCTCTCTCTCGCTCACTCTCGCTCACTCTCTC